TTTAATATGAAGAGCTTGTGGACTCACACTTATAGGGAGAGATTGTTATGTCTTTGTTTGTATGTTAACTATTAACCTTTTACCAATCTAAACATACTTATTTAGGTTGCTGAAAGATTAATTAGACATTTATAGCAATTTAATTTGTCATCTGTGCAGGTATTTATATAGGTTCTTTGCAAATAGAGGCTTCGCATTTTCGTGTTTATTTTTTACATTGAATAGTATTGAAGATTATAATAATTGAAGCGAAGCCGAAGCGCCGGCTAAAAGCTCCACATATAGTTTAAAGTATAAAGCATATATCAAATCGTTTGTTAATTATGCTATGAGTTTTTTTTTGGCCAAAAATTTTGCTATGAGTTGAGTACACCACAAAATTTTGAACATAATATTTATCCAAACATAAAAGAGTGAGAAAGCCATGCTTAAGCTAAATGTATTAGGCCCAGGTAGATTTTGGCTCCACTATCTAAACTTTTTAGGCTGTTGATGTAATGTCCACCTTAACAATATCAAAATTCATCACACAATTACAACAAACAATTATAATTAAAGTAAGGATTGCTCTTAAACTCACATTATATATATAAGGGTTAAAATTAATAATTTTTTAAAAATAATTGTGGAATATTTGGGATCCCATAAAAACCCTTCAAATTTACAGTTTGAACTCAAACTTAATAATTTATAAAGGTATTGGAAGTATGAAAAAGTTTTGGGAAACAAAACACTTCAAAACAAGGCTAAATATGTCTTTTTGAGTGTTTTGATCCATGCGCTACGGCATGTGGCACAAAAAGGTAAGTTTTCTCGCTATACCATGCGCCACAGTGCATGTATCCATGATAGCTTTTCTGGACGAACTACAAACGCGCGCCATTTTCACACTCGATATCCAATTGGAGTGATTCAAGCGCCCACGCGAAGCTTATTCGATAAGCTAATTAAAAGTACAATTTCATTATGATCTGACACTGCATGAGAATTTTAGACACTTGGATGTAAAAGTCAATTTTTAAAGCGATTTTCAACCATCCAAGTACCGAAAACTCATAACTTATACCATTAATCCATTGTGAGGCTTGAACCAAGTTTAATGAACTAAAATACATTTGAGTGAACATTCAAACACACAAAAACATACCAAACACAAAATTTGGCCACTCAATGGCCATTTCACCCAATATGGCCAGAATACCAAAACAACACCATATATACTATTGGCCTTTATTGCTATATAATACATTATCACCATATAGATAAAAACATTCCTTGCATTTGTATTAGTATTTTAGCCCGTCACTATAAAAATTACCACATATTCACATCACGTACAATATTAGGCTAAAATACAAAATAACATAGTGTGAAACAAGTGCAACCAATTAAAATGAAATGCATTCCTAGTTGACAACATATAATCTCATCTATATAAGTTTATGTACATGACTTAAAATAAAATCGGGCTTTACAATGAGATTGTAGCTAGTATGCTAGCCCTTGCCCGATTCCTTCCCTGGCTCAGTCTCATTGGTGGAACCTGTAAAATGATAATCACGGGGTGAGATAAAAATTTCAATAAGTAAGATAATCTACATTATTATTAACATGCCAAGTTATAGACAAACGTTTAAATCAAGTAAAATAAGTACAACACATAAAATCACCACAAATTACATGCATGATCCCTAACCATCCGATCTTCTAATACTCTCGACCGAACTGGTAGACTATTTCACAAAACCAAACCACATGTATGATTTCCAAGCTCACTATTCATGGTAAGACTACCTAGTCAAAGTGTCCTAAATCACTTCTAGACTACTGGTTCCCCCATTATAAGTAATTAGGGTGTCGTTACTCTAACACCTCATCCTATGGATGGCTAAGGAACATATTCTCTAACTCTGCACCTTTTAGGTACTAAAAAGAGTAAGTTTCCAACACCGCACCCATTTTCAGGCATTAAGGAGAGTAAATGCTGCACCTAACCTCCCGAGGTGCCAGTAATGTCATATAGACTTAGTCTTCATTACTCCACTAAGGTGACCTCCCACCTTCTAATATGTCACATTTCATTACATATCTCCACTTGACTATGCATAAATAACTTTCCAAACAAATATAACAAATCTTACATTTACTTCAAAAAATATAGAATTTCACAAACCAATACTCCACGTTTTCTAAAATAGTTAACCTTTAAAGAATTTATACATATATACTCAACAAATGATATAAAAGCAACTTAGAATAACTTATACAAGGTAATAAATAATACAAATTATCTAGTTACCTCAACTCTTTTGTTACTAAAAGGGTTACCTATGGTACTAAATCTATTCTTGTGTCAAGATAAGTCTTCCTACACCATAATCTATATCAACAAGTACTATATGTTAATTTTCAATTAACACAAACACTATTAGCTACCAATAACTTTCCAATTCTCCCACTTCTCACTCATATTCTCAATAAAGAGGCTTGCTAAAATTAGAATTTGTTCACACAATCCATTCAAGCCTCCCTATAACACTCTCATAATATAATACTTAAGATCTCAACTTATCACACTTCAAAACCCATGATCAAGTTAGGGCTTGATCCAACTTTTATCAAACAATAAAGTAGCTTCATATTACCACATATCTAATATTAATAAACCTAAATCAAACCTTTAGAGTCAATATAAACATTCAAAATATAGACTTATGGCTTAATCCAATCAGAGCAAATTCTTACTCTTCCAAATCCTATGAAAAATGAGATGAAAAGGTAGAGGAGAAAGGTAGGAAAACTTATTCAAGAGTTTGAAGGCTCAATTTATCTTTGAAATTCTCCCAAAATGATGCCCTAGTAGTACCCAAAGTTTTCCCTTTCGTGCTCTAGGTTTTCCATCACAAAAACTGACTTTTTTTGATGATTTTCAAACATTTAATCTGTTTGTTGTGCCGTACGCCGCAGCGCATGCCATACAAGTCGCGGCTCACAATGCAGTGAGTAAAATATTGATTTTGCTCCTCTCGATGCCACCTAACTTGATCCGACTTTCATCCTAATTCAATTTAGAGCCAAATATGACCCACAAATTTAATTAGCAACCTAAAAATATATTTAAATAAATTAATTTTATATTTTAACTAATTTATCCCTTAATTAGTTAATTTTGCTAGATTTAAAGTTTTTGAATGTTACAGTTGACTATTGCAATACAAAAAGTCACGTTTGCTTATAATCAAATAAATGAAATGGAATGAATTAAAAAAAATAAAATAAAAATGAGCTGAATCATCTTTCTCCTATGTTAAGCATAATAAAATTAATTAATATATACTGAAAAGGTGGGAATTATTACACCCTTCAAAAATAACATGAATCATGATTTTCAATCCCATGAACTAAATCACTTATTTCTCTTATGAATGTGCTCATCTATCTCCTTTAATCATTTTATTTTTATCTTTATTTTTTTTAATTCATTCCATTCTAGTAAATGAATGTGACTTAAAATACTCATAAAAGGAATAGAAATTATCAATAAAGAAAAGTAGAACTGATCAAGGGCTAGTTGACCCATCCCTTTAGCTCAATCTGAGTAATGCCTTCAGTAATTAAGTTAACCCTGCAACGTGCCGGGCAAGCGGTGCAAGTTCAGATGTATCAATAATGTCGGTGCCGAAAAAAAAACAAAAGTCATTTCACATAAATAAGTCCATTTGATAAAAGTGACGGCCCAAATTGAAGCCCGATATGTTGTCGGAGCTTGGGAGTGACTCTATTCTGCGATATTGGAATACTAGGCCCAACATTTGACTTTTAGACTAGCCCAAAAACCATTAATTTGATTTCCTTATGACACGGCCGAAGGTGATTAAAAAAAAGGAACAAAAGTGTCTACGAAAGGTGGATGCCTCCTTTTCTCTATGCCTATTTGTAAGTATTGGCTAATTGTAGCATTTGAATTTAGTGGGTAGTTTAAGTATACCCACTTATGAATGTTTCATGTGACAAAATAGTAACAGCTTAATTTAATTGAATGGTTGTCAATAATTTTGTCATATAATATTTAAAAAATATTAAATTTTAAATCTTTGGAAAGAATGACATCATGAATAAGGAATGTTTTAATTGTATTGATTGTTTTAAATTTTGTTATGAAAATATATTTTAATAATTTTTAAGTATTAATAAAATTTAATGACTATAAATAAAATACTCATTAAGCTATTTATTTTGTTATTTGTGACCATCTGTAGGATCATGGGTCTGCCTGGGCTGTCACTCTCTCCTCACCCAACAAGTGACCTCCTTAGTTTTGGATTGTGTCAATTTGGTTAAACACAAGGTGAACATTAACTTAATTATCCTTATATATATTATAAAACATGCACTACTATAGAACTAATTAAATATGACACATCTCATACTTGTTGCTTATTTAACATAAGTGACAAATAAATATAGACAAAAAATATATTTAATGATTATTTTAAATAGGTGCCAAGTATTAAATACATAATTAACGGTTATTTATATAAATACTGTTTGATGGTTATTTATTATTAAATATATATATATATATATATTTATGTATGTTATTAAATAATAGTCAAATATTTAAAATATTTATTTATCATTTATTTATAAACAAGGGTCAAAAAACAATACGTGATGCTTTTTTATTTAACCGTCAAATTTATCCCTCTTTACTTATTTTCATCAAAGACCTCATCCTCAATTCCTCACCCGGACGACACTACCCTCCCTTCATATCCACCTTGTCCTCCTTACTCCCGCTTCATCACCCTACCACCATCGCACCACCGCCTCCTCTCTAAGGGTGTGTTTTGTTCAAGAGAGGGAAAGAGAGGGAAGGGAAGGAAAAGGAGGGAGAGGGGGAGGAGGGAAAGGGGAGGAGAGGGAGCTCCCCCAATTTGGAGGGGAGGTTTTGGAGGGAAAAAATTTTCCCTCCCCTCCTCCTAACCAAAGGAGGGGAGCCCTCCCCCCCCCCAACCAAACACGCCATAAGGTGTGAGGTATTTTTCTCCTCCTCACTCCCTTTTCGATGTAAAGCCTAAATCCTAGTTGCTTCCATTCTTTGAATCTATACATCAAAACCCTTGCCTTCTTTTTTGAGGTAAACTCCTTCCCACATCCTCAATCTCATAGATATCACTTGTTTTTTTGATTGATTTTGATGCGTTTATATGAACTTGCTTCTTTGGTGCTTCCTTTGAATTCCTCTGTTTTTTATATGCTTTATTGTTGTTTGATAATTTTAATATCCCTTATAACGCTTCCCTCATCATTCATTCTATGCTTCTCTCCGGTGCTTCATTGTTTTGTTTTATCTCATTCGCTCCCTTTGAGCCACCTGGAGGGTCGTTTACACCATCGACTAGGAGGAGGAGGCTCACAAGAACGAGGACCTTGTTCCTCTTGTTGAGAGTTATAGATCTAAGGTCGATTCCGAGCTGTCCAAGGTGGGTGATAATATCTTGAAGCTGTTGGACTCCAATCTGATTCCCTCCACTTCTGCTAGTGAGCTGAGGATATTGTTTCATTTTGCAAGGCTGCGCAGGTAATCATTCTCTCTTATTACCTTTGATATTCTACTTTCAGTTTTGAGGGTCCTGAGGTGAAAAGTATTATTTTGTTTTTCCACTTCCTAAATTTGGTTTATCAAACAGTCAAAATGCCTTCACGGGTCTTGTTGGCATTGGATTATCAAAGATGTAGAAGGTTGCATTTGAAACTATGGTGAAGAAAATGAGAAAGTGGTTTTTATTTTAGAATTGGAGAGTTCCAACATTTCATTTTATTTTTTAGTTTCAAACACCATTCAAACCGACATTGTGAGATTCACAAGCAAATTATTTGAGGCATTAACTCTTAAATGATTGATCTAACAAACCTTCAAACCCCGTATCAGATGAATTATTGGTGGGTCTAATAGTTAATCAATAGTATGCTATCGTTTTTACCATTAGTTGAAGAACAGAGCTTGAAAGGATAAAAAGCGAAAACACGAGAGAAAATAATTGGAGAGAATGACTTCACATGTGGAATAATATTATATTACTATTTATAAAACCACATCATAATCGACAAAGTGGCTTGGAGGGTACTTAAATATTTTAAATTACTTAAATCTTCACATGTGGAATAATTCAAGAAACTGAATTCACATGCAGAAAGCTTAATAAAAGACATATTTTGAAATAGGGGGAGTGCGACATAGTGCAGTGAGGTGCAAATTACAAGTTGATGAGGTGGGAGTGTGGGACCATCCTGCTGTGTATTGATTTCAAAATGTGATAATAAAAGGAAATAAGCATTAATGTATAGGACCACTTCCTCAATTCTTGTTCTTAAGAACAATCTGCTGCGACCACAATGAGGCATTGGACATGGTGAGTTAGTTTTGGTTTTTATCGCCCACCTTATATAACTTTTCATTTAGTTGTAGCTTATCTATCCCAAAGGAGGGAAACTAGTTTTAAGATTAACTCATGCATGCATTCCAAGTCTTGTACAGGTATTGATCCAACTAAATGGCAGTCTCTGTCTATGTAACAATGTCTGGTGCAGATCATTAAAATTATCAATAGATGTCAAGGTGTGATGTGTCTGATTCTATGTCTTTCAATATATATTATATATTTTTAACTTTCAGTTTCTGGAAATTAAAGTTTCATTCTATATTGGCTTCATGAATGAAGATCATTTTTCACTGACATAATTTAGCACAAATGCTTGCATACATGACCTCTCTATGCATGTGTTGTTGGTGCAGTACTAGAGACATTGAATGGTTAGTGGAAAACTCAAGACGCTAATATTACAAGTATTGGTCAAATCTAGTTAGGTTTATCACCGTTTAAAGATGATCTTGGGGAAATTTGTATTAGATTACAACAACAATAAACCTTATCCCATTTAGTGGAGTCGGCTACATAAATTATATGACACCATTATACTTAATCATTTATTAAGTTTTTAAGAATATTGTTAATTAAAAAGTTTCGCTCAACAACCTTCAAAAATGTTTTTTTCAGTCCTTTTTTACCTTTTTAACAGGGTTTAAAGTCATCTATTCCACTATCCTCACAGGTACCTCCTGTGATCTTCTTTGTACATGTTCAAACCATCTTAATCGATTTTTTATCGTTTTTTCTTCAATAAGTGCCACACCCATTTTTTTTCATATTTGCTCATTTTGAATTTTGTTTTTACGTGTATATCCACACATCCATTTCAACATTTTCATCTTTGCTACTCCACATTAATACTTTTGTAATCCCGTTAAAGTCCAATATTCACTGCCATATAAAATTTCCTTTAGCCTTTCTCCAATTAAACCACCCCACTTATATCCTATGTGTAATATCTCCACCAAATATCCTATGTGTAATAACCATCAAGTAAGAAGTTTTTTCTTTTAATTTTTTTTTGGTAGTAGTGATGTAATGAGTAAAATTGTAGTTTTATATTATAAAAGGTTTTACATTTTTTAACGTAATATGTACATTCAGATGGGAGAAGTTTTCTCTGTATATATTAAAGTGGTAGAAGAGGTTGACACAATTTTTCAAGTGAAAAAAAAAAAAATCGAAGGTGATTGGCATCAATTTGCATTTATATTATTTTTGAGTATTTTTAATGGTCAGCGTGCATGCCTAAAGTCTTAAGTTCTCCAGATTATTTTTAATTTAAATTGATAAACATTAACTATCTAGAAGAATCATGTGATTCATAAGTACTATCAATGGTATATTTGATAAATTGTTCAAGTACATACATCTCAAAATATCGCCATAACAAGCTGATTTTTTTTTTTTTTTGGTGGATGACAGAAAGTAATAACTTGCTTGTAGTTACATATCAGATACAGCTACCAAGGCAGACGCACATGGTAGCTGCGGATGTACTGGTTACTTTATTTCCTTATTAGGGGATTCACCGGTATCATGGAGCACAAAAGTAGCAAAGTGTGGTAGCGAGGTCATATACTGAAGCTGAATAGAGCCACGGTAATCAATAATCATGGTTGGCGAAGCAATTTAATATTGCCAAGATGATTACTTAATTGCTGAAATACAAGCACCGCAGATAAACCCAACGCCACTACACATTCTACCCTCTGATATTCAAGACGCTTTACACATAGCCATGAATCCAGTTTCTCACGTGCAAACCAAACATGTTAAAATGGATTGTCAATTACTTCGGAAGGGAAAGGAACCGGTCCAAGGAAATCATGCCACGTAAGATATACATGGACATGAGATCAACTGTATTATTGAGCGCAAGGTACGTAAAACTGGATCGGTCATTAAACTGGTTATGATATTGAGTCACGGATTAGTGGTTTAATCGAGATTGAACCGGGGGTTAAACAAGTGGCAAACCGGTCATGATTAAAATAATATAATTTAAATAATAAGACATTAATTATAAAAACATTCAATCAAATCTAACCACTCAAAAGTCTAACAATAATAAAATATTATATTTTTGAACTTAGCATGCTCTGCCTCTAATTTTTTATTTTTTGATTTCAATTTTTACTTTTTTTTGTTATCTTATTTCCGAATTCAGAGCTCTGAAAAATTTAAAATAAAAAAAAAATTAAAAACGACATCATTTTGGAAGTAAAAGTTTGAAAAAATAATAACCCGGTCAACCCACCGAGTTGTCCGGGTTATATAGGGTTGACCGGGCTATATTGGTTTACTTCCTCATCGAGTTAAGGGTAAACTCAGATCGGACAAAGAATCGGATTATCGAATTTTGAATTGACGCCGAATTCTTTAATATGCACGAGTTTATGGCTGTTTTTCTGAATCAGATCAACCGCATCCCATGGATTTTGGAGATCCGCGCTCTGAGCTGTGGGAATTTTGTTTTTTATGTTTTGATATGATTTGACCTTATTGTTTTCCAGTTTGCACAGTCATAGTTGTGGCCAATGAGATGAACAAGGGCCATGCATTATTACCTATGGACCAAGAGATACAATGTTGAGTTATTTACTTATTTACCTTCATAAAAAAAATTCATTTGTTACACCAAAAAAATAAAAAGAAAAATGAATCCGTTGGTCTTATAATGTCACTCAATTTGTAACCAAGTCCCAAAAGATTAGGAAATATAAGGAAAATGTGTGAAAATAGCATAAATTTTGAAAACACAAAAAAAAAAAAATCTTTTGGATTGATTGAGCACAAATATCCTCTTATGACAAGTAATTATCTTTGGTTGAAAACTAAATGTAAATATCTCCTATAGTAGGGATTCAAAGCTTGGTTTGTTATGTTTTGAGAGAATAATCCTTTAATTTTTTCATGTGATTCAACCTCCTTAATTAAAAAGAAATTAACTCAAATGAGTATCAATTTTTTCATGATATTCTTTAGGTCCCGTTTAGTTACTAAAAAAGATTATAATAAAATTTATTATAAAATAAAGATAAAAATAAAATGATCAAAAGAAATAAGTAAATTACATTTATAAAGAAAATAAATAATTAGTTCATTGGATTGGAAATAATGATTCATTAATTTTTTAAGGACATGATTTTTATATTTATAATATATTAATATATATTAATAACTTTTATTATTTCATTAAGGGAAGAAGGGTGATTTAATGGATTTTAATTTTAATTTTTTAATATATCCATTCCATTCGGGGTCTAAAGAAGATATTATCACCGACACAACCCCGTTGTCAATCGTAATCACGTGCTCTATCTTCCATCCCCCATTCTATTTACTCATTTTATACGCCTCGCCATCCTCCGTCTGGCGTTCCATGGCTGAAAGACCAAGACGAAGAAAAAGATGGAGAGCAAAAAAAAGCGTGAATCTGAAAACCCCCATGTGCTGATATTTCCACTACCGTGGCAAGGTCATGTTAACACCATGCTCCCCCTGGCAGAGCTTCTCGCACTTTCCGACGTCCACGTCACCTTTCGCTGCACCCACCGCTTCCTCCGTTTCGCCGGCCACATCAGAGCTCGTCATCCCATTCTTGCCTTCGAGATCTACGTTGACCGCGTTACCGACCCCCCGGTATTCGGAGGCAACATAGATGAATTCTTCAACGGCGTAAAGTTTCAGGGGAAGCTCAAGTTGAGAGAGCTATGCTTGGAGCATTCTGGAAAACCCAGGGTCACCTGCATTAGAGCAGATACCTTGGTCGGAGCGCCACCTCCGACCTTTGAGACCAGCTCGGAATACCCATAATTTATTTCCGTACCGGCAGTGCCTGCAATTTCTGGCCATTTTTTTGTGTTCCAATGCTACTTCAGAGCAACGAACTTCCAACTAGAGGTATATATACTCTTCATCTGTGACATAAATTGGGAAATAAACTAAAGAAAATAAGAAGAAGATATCCGATCAAATAAACTTGCTTGAACATGCATTTATCTTATTGTAATTTCCATCTAAAGGGGAAGAAGACATTGATCGCGTGATAACAGCAATTCAAGGAAAAACTTAGTTCGATGTCGGGATCTTCCATCTTCTTCTCTAGGAAGCCTCGGTACTGGTTTTTTTTCTCTAGACAATATGGTATTCCTGGCCAACCAATCACTTCGAGGGGAAGCTCTGATTTTGAACACTTTTGAAGACTTAGAAGGTCCTGTGCTCTCCGAATTGCGCCAGCGTTTTCCCGAACTCTACACCTTAGGTCCTCTCCACGAACACCTAAACTTCAGATCCGAAACGGCGTCGTCGGGGAACAGCCTCCACCCTCCTCAAATAGTCTCTATGAAGTAGAGAGAAACTGCATGAGATGGCTCGATGCTCAGCCCCCGAAGTCAGTGATGTACGTGTGCTTTGGTAGCATAATTGTTTTGACGAGGGATCAACTCATGGAGATATGGCACGGTCTGGTGAATAGCAAGATGAAGTTCTTGTGGGTGATCCAACCCGATATGGTGGCTGGAAAGGATCGAGAGGATCTGCCGATGGAGCTGGCGGAAGGAATGAAAGAGGGGGGTGTATCGTGAAGTGGGCCCCGCAAAAGAAGGTCCTCGAACACGCGGCGGTCGGCGGCTTCATGACACACAGTGGATCGAACTCGACGTTGGAGAGTATGGTGGCCGGAGTTCCGATGATTTGCTGGCCTTTCTTCGGCGACCAAATGATAAATAGCAGGTACGTGAGTGAGGTGTGGAAGATAGGGTTAGATATGGGGAAAGGTTGTGACAGAAAGGTGGTGAAGAAAATGGTGAATGATCTCATGGTGCAGAGGAGGCAAGAGTTTCAGAAATCAGCACAAGCTTTGGCAGCCTTGGCCAAGAACAGTGTGCGGGGAGGAGGATCCTCGTACTCTAATTTCGATCGTTTTATTGAGTATTTGAAGTCAATTTGTTGAGGAACATTAATATATTTTTTTCATTCTTGCAGTGACAATGTTCATTTTTTCTGTCAGATTTATAAATTTGTATTGTGTTTTGAAATTGTTATTCTCTTTATTATTGTTAAATTTACGTTTGACTGCTTCCAATTACAAATAAACACAATTGTGATGCAAGCTAAGTTTGTTCTCTTCCAAGCCGCTCTCTGTGCTTAACGAAATATATGGAGTTTGCAATCTCATGCGTGCTTAAATGTAGAATCTTTTCTTCTCTCATTTTTATTTCGTGGCAACTGAGAATTATTATTCTTTTTCACCGCATCATATAGTTAAAGTTATCTTTGTTCTTATTCATAATTTATGTAATAAATATTTAAACAAAATAAAATAAATAAATACTGGATAACGTCATCAATTTGTTGAGGACAACTTCTTAGACTCTTTCTCTGACTATGTTTATTATATATATATATATATATATTTATATGTCTCTCCTTCCTCGATCTGCACTCCCAAGCAACAAGAAGCGTACTTGTGAATAATATGGGTTTCTCTGGATATTTCCGAATCAAGTAATTAGTTATATAAGAAAAAATCATAGGAGGAGAAAAGACATGAAAACTGAGGCTTGTGAATGATATTAAGAACTGAATTCCTTTTCTGAATGAAAATTAAATTAGTCATACAAAAAACTCATTTAGTTATTTCTCTACTATGCAAAATATTTATTGCTTATAATAGTGATGAATAGAAACATTTAAAAAACTGTTAGCTTATTCACACATTAATTAAAATTTTCAAAAGTGTTGCAAAGCAAAATATTGTGAAAAGTTACAAATATTAATATTGTGTAATTATGCCCAGAGAAGTAAGAACTGAACCAGAGTGTCCTTGCAAAATAACTGCATGAAGCCACCAAAGATGGCTATGGAGAGATATATTGTAACTGTTAATTACCAATGTAATAAAAACACCCCGTAAACCAACGAATCAGTGTTTGGTCGTTTGAAACTAGCCAAAAATTGAACTACTTAACTCCGAACTGGTCAATAAAGGCCAAAATTCAGAGGTGAATCGCATGTGGCTTGCATGTACGGACCATTCCTCATCCACTTTAGAGTAATTCTTTTACGGAGGAAAATTGAGTGTCAAAAGAATAAATTAATAATAATTAGGTCCCTAATAAAAAATTTTAAAAAGAATAAGTTCTAAATATCAATTCAATAAATAATTGTACATTTAAGAATTTTAATTTTAAATAAAAACATTTAAATTCCGAATGTCATTTGAATTGATATTTTTATTTATAATTATTTGAATTGATATTTATAATTTATTTTTTAATTTTTTTAAAAAGACCTAAATGTTTTTTTTTAATCACATGGGAACCTAACTGTCATTAACCTGATCTTTCAGGATTTTACTATCATAATTCTCCCTTCTTCTTTCTTTATCTTGATCATGGGCCTATGCCGAATACCAAAGCACAGTTTTGCTGGCCCAAAAATAGGAGTTGCTACGCTTTTTTTTTTTTTTTGTTTGTGTTAATGGAGTTGCGATGCTTTATTTGGAGAACTAATCCACAAATTATGTGTGCCTTGTAAAAAAAAAAAAAAACTCTGTGCATGTATGTCTAATTCTAAAATCACATTTATCTCATAAGTTATTATTATCTGTTTTTCAATTTAATTTTTTAATTATCCTTAAAAATTTATCCAAAAACTATATGATCTATTTTATAAATCATGATTTTGGGTTTATAATTGATTTTTGCATGTTTAGGGATGTTTACATATTTTTAAAAAACCATTATTAATTTTGGGTTTGTAATTGATTTTGATATGTAAGAGATATGTTTAGATATATTTTTATAAAATTATAATTTTAACTTCTAAAATTGATAATGTTATCTATCC